ACTTTCTTTACCATAGGTTCTTGTGTGATCTTAGTTTAATGTAAATTCCAAGACTACCAAGCTACTAAATCATAGATTTCAAACTTCCATGGATAGGGATGGTTACTGATGCGTCTGACGACTTCTGAGTTATATAAAGTGGTTTCCGCATCTCTGTAGATAGTGAGCTTGCGGTTCCACGATCTCGGGTTGTCCAAGACATTGCTAGGTCATTGTGGTGGTCTGTGGCGTATCTTACCGCTTCGGGTGATACGCGAATGCTTGGCTTTACCACGGAGCAGACCGAGCATTGTCCCGCAATCTCGGCGCCTGACGATCGAAGATTTAAGCAGCGGGGTCGAAGATAGGTTATTTTCTCTCATTCCTGTTTCGTAGACCTTCTGTCGTAAATCCTGAAGTTTATGAAACTGGGAAACTCGTGAGATTTAACGAATTTCTTAAATATATCAGCTCTCTTAGTTTTCCATGTTCAAAACTTTTAGACTTAAGTACAGACGTTAAAAAATATTGATCGATCTCTGTCAATTTTAAAATTAGAAAGTCAATATCCTTTAAGAAGCCGGAAGTTTTCAAATCGTTCAATGCCTACTTTTTTAGTTGAAAAATGTGGCCAACGATCTGCAATAGATGAACTAAGATTAAACAAGCTAAATTAAGACTTAACTGAAACACGATTTTAAAATTATCGACGTCGACACACATGACATAAATTGGTCTATAGTTTTGTACATACACTGTCATAAATACGATATTGCTAAAATATCATCGAATAGGGTGATTCTCTTTCCAGCTTTAATATAACTTTTGAAGTTATACCTTAGAAAGGTGTACTTTAATACAACTTCAAAAGTTATATTGAAGTACACCTTTTTTAAATCACTAAATAACGTAAAAATCAGAGAACCTACAACATTGTATTCAATATATTTCTCAATTCTAACTTTCAATTCTTTTTCCAGCTATTTGCTTTCTTAGAATATGAGTCATTATTAGCGGGGCAGACTTATAGTTCGATTATTTGTCATTCGCGTTGAGTCATGACTCGTGACTAACTAGTAATTATTATTGTGACGTCTTTTGGGTACTGCAGACAAAGCGTCTAGTTTAATTAATTCTCCATTCGTACAGTTCGATTAAGCAGGCTCACAGCTAAGGTAAATAAGCTATGAACAGCCTGTTGGATACTCCTTTTGTCGTTGGTGTAAAGGATTGATGTGTTGTGCAGGTTCATAACATCTATTAAGCCTTTGTTCCTCTGTTATCATGCTGAATTGATCTCGGTAATGACACTGACGTTCCATCTCCAATTATCAACTATGTAATTTTCGTTTTGTTCAGGGGAGTGTTGGCAATTAATAACACAGGCATAATACAAGTATCACTTCAATTGAAGTTCCATTCTTCTTTTTTTTTCTTTTTTTCTAATTATAAAATTTACGAAAATATGAATTTGCAAAATTATCCGCAGTCCATTTACGAGATTAAATAACGATGAAATTAAACAATATATAGCTTCGTAACGCAGAAAGAAAAAGGAGGAATCACAAAGATAAAAAAAATGAAACGAAGCTGCGTTTCGTACGACTAGTACGCTTATCGGTAAAACATCTGCACACACTAAACGCTGGACAGTAAAGGTCAGGTCAGAGAAGGTATTTGTATGGGCGAGATAGTTAAGCGAGGACTTTTGAGGGTATTGCTTTTGTGTGGATGCCTCTGGTGGTTCGCATACAGTTATACAAAATGTACTTACACAATCAGTACGCATAATCCAATTGTTGCTTGCAAATATTTGTACCAAACTACACGTCGTTCGTATATGTACGTTTATTTATGTAAGAAATTAGATATATATTCTATATATCTAGTCTATGTAGAACTAGACATTCTATCTACGTGCATAATAGTTTTGGTACATATGTGCATACATAGATATGTGACACTTATTAGAATTATTATCTAGAAAATCTCGTTAAGTTCGTGCGATTTAATCGTGATAGCAAATATTTATATAGTATTAGACAGATTTGATCGCCATGATTCGTAATTCTTTTCTAAATGTATCAGATTACACGTTTACACGAAGATCAACATGCTCTTCGATGTTTTATCAGTTCAAGCTAAGGTATTATCCAATGTAACTTTAATATGATCACGAGTGTTCTTTAACTGATCTTGTAAACATACTGAAAAAATTCCGAATAATCTTAAACAATGTTCGTGCTATGAAAACATAAATAATATATGAACAATTATGTTACACAGGTAAGTAAGATATTCTGTACGAATAGATAAGTTACTGAAAAGTAATAATTAATGTACCGTAAATTCCATATATGTTTATTCTTCAGAATTACATTTTGTAATTTAGATAACAGACAAATTGGACAACGTTGGAAAGCAACGTTTAACTTATCGTTAAAAGTACCTCTAATACGGTCAGTTGGATATGTTAAATAGTAAGGAAGGACATAATGAACACAAATACAGCGTAAGGCTACTTGTCTATGTATAGTGCAAAATTTAGTAAGCGAAAAGCGATATGTTATTTCTTTGTTCCTGAAGTACTTCGTACAACACAAAAGCATTACTGTTATGAAATACAGGCAAATTAAAATTCGACAAGAGAAAAGTGAGACAATTACAGAATATAATTGCGTTGACGATAAGTATGAACATTACGAGACATTGTCTATAATCGAAATAGCGAGATTAACACAATTGATATAAAAGATATCCAAGTGTTAGCTACGTAATTAACTGTATCATTAAAACGTTATATATCCAATTCGTTGTTTCATAATTGTATCGACCCACGCAAAGGATGAAAATAAAGTTTATTATCGTCAGAAGACGATAATAATATTTCATAACGTAAATTTTTCGTATTACAAAGTCGCAAGAGTCATATTTTGTAACGAAATATTATTATCGTCTTCTTATTATATCGTCTATTATTATCGTATTATCGTCAGAAGACGATAATAATATTTCGTTACGAAATATGACTCTTGCGACTTTGTAGTACGAAAAATTTACGAATTTCCCTTTTGCAATTTTATCTTCTTTTAGAGATAATATCATGTATATGTCAAGTTTAAATGAATTAAACGAATAAGTTCGTTATCGATACTAAAATATTTAACACACTTTCTGAACAACGTCGTCGAAAGGTACTCTTCTTTTTGACAATTGCCTATCTTTGAGATGTTATCTCTAATTAATAGCGAAAACAACTTGTAAGCGAAATATTATCGAATAATAATATTTTTCTAAGATACCGTATTTACAGAATTAATTGCCACCTGTATGAATTTTCCTTTCCTTTCTTCGTCGTCGACAGAACGAAAGACATAATTCATAAAATTGAAAAAAGATAAAACTCTAATTTGAATAGAATTAACATATCGATTCCTTGGTGAGTTCTACAGCGAATTAGGTTTTAAGATTTTATGATTTCTCGAATCTAAATTTATGACCTGGCATACGGTGCTAATATAATAAATAATCGGGACTCTCTTAAATCCTGAATTGTCTTATTAGAAATACAGAACGTGCGTGGAGCTGCTAACGCATCGCATATATCAATGAGTTCTAATGTATTTCGCGATGCTATTGGTAATCCTCATCTTAATGTCGTTCCAATTTATGTTGACGAAATTCTCGAATCACACAGACCATCGCGTATCATAAATGCTAATTAACTGATTTACAATTTGATCGTACGATAATAATATTTGGATGTCTATAGTACGAAATATATTCAGATCAGATTTATGTGTACATATGCATAAAAAATTCATAGTTTTTAGTTTTTTTTTTTTGTTTACATATACTTATATTTTAGAATATGTGAATATTCGTACAATTAACATAATCTTTGCGATCATAATAAGAAGATTAAAAAAACATTTAATGGGTTGTTGTATCGAATGTAGATAGAATATTGAATATCAATGAATATAGATGGAAAATAGATAAAATCTATTTAAAATCTATTATATTTTATATTAAAATCTATTTATATTTTGGAGAATATATTTATTTCTTTAAGGTACTTTATTATGTTTCTTGTTATCTGATCTTCCATTATTACAGTTGTGTATGGTTTTATGCCGCATTTCTTTTTTGTAATACTAATACTTTGTAATACTAATATCGTAGTAAATTAAAAATCTCATTTAGAAAACGTATATTTTTTATATTTAATATTCATAATAGGTGTGCATTTTGATGTAACAAGCTTCTTAAATTTAATATTATGGGAAATAATAATACTCTCGACATTAAAGTTGCAGGTTTGTCTCTTAAATTAGTATGCTCTTTCATCGGACAAAACAGTGATTTAAATACATTTTACTTTGAAAATAAATTGATGGTCTTGTCAAAGATCGTCCTTCTACAAACAAGATTTTAAGCATCGGTATTATACAAATATTTTTAATGCTTGCTTTTAAAAGCAACGCAAACGCCGATTAAACCACACATTTTGTTCGTATTCAAATAGAACTATTAGTAGTAGACTACGGATATTTATACAAAACTCCTATTGTTACGCATACTAAACACTAAAAGTAGTGATAATGCTCTACTACTTCTTAAAACGTGAAATATTAAGTAAATACAAGTACAATTTTCCAGGATTTTCCAATAAATGTATCCAATAGGTGTCCCAATCCTAATCGTAACGTTATGTTTATTGGTTGGCGGTATAAGTAAATTATGTTTGGACATTTTCGTTGCAATACAAAGAAAATGAAGAGAAATTCCGACCCTTTTATCGTATGAAGTTTACATTCTAGACATTTTATTAAATAGATCGTATGGATATTCTTACTTACTTCACTAATTGACGAAATGTGTATCTCCACGATAAGATGACGTTTCCACAGACGAAAAGCAAATCGACCACGTTTCGATAAAAGTTAACAAGGACGATTGATCGTCGAATGTGTGTACCCTGCCACTGAAACTCTAGACAATTATGCGTTACATAACAAGAAGTGGTATAAAAGGGAAGCTATCCTGCACTACATCACAGTCGATCGTTATAACGCTGGCGAAATATTCCAGGCGGACATAATCGATCGTGTCTTAATTACTGTGAGTACCTCGAAATAAACTAAATAACACCATATTGAAACGACAAATTGTACATTGTTAAGCAACATATTGCAAAAAGTAATTTATTCTGAAAAATAACTATTTAAACTTCAATATATATCGTGTTTATCACGAGAACAACCGGAACCGGTATCACGCTACGAATACCGAACTACGTGTTTACGATGTGGTGCAGAGTGCACCAAGCTCGAAGTCACGCGAATGATTAGACGACTAATTTCATATTCAACGTTTTGTGTGCTTAGGGACATGAGGGCGCTAATAGTATTCTGCCTAACGGTATTGCCGTTGGTCGCTTCATACTCATGGAAACCGACCGCACAATATTTGAGCAACAATTTGGTAGGCGCATCGGTCTATCAGATCTATCCCAGAAGTTTCAAGGACAGTGATGGAGATGGCGTTGGTGATCTTAGAGGTACGTTCCTCTTTTTCCTTGATAGTTTCAATTTTTAAGATGTCCTTGTATTTTGTAATTACGAGTTCCTTTTTCTTTCATTACTTATGATCCCATTGATTGTTTAATATACAGAGGCGTACATAAACGTAGGAGAAAATGTAGAGGGAAAAGTTGAATGATACGATAAGATTCTATGTTCGCAGATACTTTTTCCTAGCCATGTTTTCTTAATATCTCCTTTTAAATAGAATTTTACAATCTTTTATTAACCAGGTATTCTTTGATTCTCTACAAAAGTGGTACTGAGGTGCTTGGGCAGAAAGATGTTTAGTTCAAGAGATATATCAGTTTTAATTTCACGAAATTTAGTGTATGAGAGACAATACGTTCCTCGTACGCAAAGTTTTACAAAGTTTTACAAAAGCAAGCATTTTTCGATCCAAGTGCCTCGATACTTTATTCTTTTTAGGGAATTAAAAATTTTATCGAATGATTAACAAAGGATTATAAAATTCCATTTAGAAGATGGATACAGTGGTACTGTCTCGGTGCATCGTTGTATATTTAAAAAAGTGAAAATTCTTTTTCTATCTCTCGCCGACTTATTATTATTCAATGTTAATACGTAATTATGAAAATATTAGAAGAGTATAGAAAGCCGTTTATTATTACGTATATAATCATAATCAAGTATACGTCGATCATTTTATTATATATAGATAATATCCATTAAAAATTTGTGGTCACATAATAAGTATCGTTTGTTCGATATATATAATTTTACAAGGTAGAATTTGTGAAATTAATTAATTAGTATTTACTAGTAATTTATTTTCTCAAAAAGCCTCGATTATTGAACTTTGTATTATTTTACTACTATAGTAAAAATAAGTCTACCTAAGCGAAAATGAAATCTAACTATTGTAATCGTAGGAAATGATTTTTTAGTCAGAGAATGTACCCCTAGTTACAAAGGATAATTGAAGGCGAAACTTTTGTTACGCGGTCGATCCACATGTCACGGCTCGTAAACAGATGCATAATTGCTTTTCCTTTTCGCGTCGTCTTTCGATTTGTTCGCGCGTTTATGTAACCACAACGAACAAAGACAAGTACGGTACGGATGTAATTAACAAGGAAATCTAAAAACGCAAACGTTAGCCGAGAAAAAGGAAAGTGAAGCGCGACAATCGCACGTGGAGAACTCTGCGGAAGAAGTTAATGTCGCTTAAACGCGAAAATAAATTTTAACGAAACTTCCGTTGCGTTCGCCTCTTCTGGTCGCTTTGACGCGGCTTAAGAGCGACGTGTTCCGGAAAAGAATTTCGGCCTTTTTGTAATGCTCCAGCCATTACGAAAGATTTACACCTCTCTGAGTTAATGTCGCAAGCGACGTCATTGGAAAATAATTTTCAAGTTCCCGTTAGTTGAAATTTAACGAACACGTTCTCTTTTTATTTTCCTAAATGAAATGTTACATATATGAAACTTCGACGTATATTTTTCTGCGTTAATTTTTTGTTCTATTTAGTTTTATTTGTTGTCACGATATTTAAGCTGATTCTGATAATTCAACGAAGATATTATTTCGAGAAAAAGTTTATAGCTATCGAACGAAGAATTCAATGACGTAAAAAAAATTTCAAAAATGATCAACGCCAAGACTAGAATTTAATCGACATATCGAATTTAGACTACAAACGAAGAGGAAAGGATAATAATTGAAAATCATCAAAGAATTTAGGCATATTTGGGTTAATTTTCAATTCACGAAGCGACAGACAAGAACTAGAAGAATCGATAAACCTTGCTGAATACATGACATTCTCGATGTTGAACATTCGATATGTCGTATTATATTTTTCTACAAAGTTCAGCTTCTTATTCTAGGTATCTGAGTAATCTACATTGTTTTCATAAACTTTAACATTTTATTGTAACTTAAATTTGAGATAAATTTGTTTCAGTATGTCTGAGCTCCTTTTTAACCAGCAATAACGATTATAAATGTAGACTGAAATGTTTCTTGTTATAATATTTTCTTGGGATGAAAATCTTCGAAAAGAAAATAAGCTACACTGATAACGAGCAACTGTCAGATAACAAGACCAGAAGGATGTAGGTCTGTATAGTAAAAGAGTGGAGAGTTTGTTAGAAAAGAAGAATCAAGAGAGAAATAATGTAAAAGCATGGTAGATGTTTACTTATACACGAAAAGAAATCAGTAATACCTGAGTTATTAATAAGTATCCTCATTAAATTTTCCTTCTTTCTTAAAAGCAATGTCCTAAAGTTACTAAAACATTCTGCTTAAATGATATGTCGAGTCTTCATTTTTCCAATGTTTCATTTAACGAATGTCATGTTTCAAAGGTAACTTGAATTGCGGAAACATTGGAAATTGATCTTTATGTATATTATCTATAAACAATTCTGCTCGAGGAAACCTTTTTGCTTGTAGCTTTCATAATTCTTTCTAGAAAACTTGAAATCGAATATTTTTCGTAAAAAGTATCAAACATTTATGTGCAAGGAGCTTGAAAACGGTAGCAGATTTATCGTTGTATGTGTCAATAATTCAATCAAATTTACGCAATGAAATTTATCACAATAGTTATTATTTTATTGAATGGATAAATCTGTCACACCGTTCTGAGGATACTTAACTAGGGATAAAAACAAAAAAGCATCTTAAGCTTATCGATTAAATCTATCGATTATAACTAACGCATCTGCATACGGATGGCGAGCACGAACTCACGTTGTCATTTTCAACACGATCAAATTGTCTTCTTTTCGAATATAATTTATTCGTCGATAGAGTTCGACTAAGAAAACGAGATCTTCTCTGTTACAGGTGTCATACAGAAGTTGGATCATCTGGTCGATGCGAACGTTGACATAATTTGGTTATCGCCCATTTTTAGCAGCCCTATGGTAGATTTCGGTTACGATATCTCAGATTTCCGGAACATCTACCCCACATTTGGTACTATAAAGGATTTGGAAGACCTGATCCGAGAAGCGCACAAAGTGGGTATAAAGGTCTTACTGGATTTCGTCCCGAACCACACGTCGGATCAGCACGAATGGTTCCAGAAGAGCTTGAAGGGAATTAAACCTTACAGTGATTATTATATCTGGCATCCAGGAAAAGTATTGGAAAATGGCACCCGTGTCCCACCATCCAATTGGGTAAGTGCAATTTAAATTACTTAAAACGTTCTTCAGCCCTCAAAAACTACGATGGATCAAATAGGCAACACGCAAATTTTATTCGAATATTATTTGTTGTTATTTCTATACTCAGAGGTAGGATCACAATAGTTATTATCTTATTGAATGGATAAATTTATCACATCGTTCTGAGCCAAAAAAAAAACCTTTATTGCACGCGCTTACAAAAACTAAGGATAAAAACAAAAAGGCATCTTAAGTTTATCTATTCTAGTTACTATTTCTTATAACTAACGCATCTGCACATGAATGGCGAGCAGGAAGTCACGTTGTCATTTTCAACATTATTGTTTTGTGCTACAATTAAGTTATTTACAACCATTGTGAATAGTAATATTGACTATCATTATTTACCATCTGGTTTTTTTTCTTCTTATTATCATAATGATATGCAACCCGCTGAATTTTAAACACACCCGTCGCGTCGTTTCAGACTTTTCAATTTAAAACTTACCTTTGCGCCCGTAATTTTCGTGAAATACAACTGCCGGTATTCGTTGCTCGATGCTCGAGCCGCTTTAATTACTTAATTAATTACTTTAATTAATTAATTGTTAGTATTTACATATTTCGCGTTCCGACGTATCTCGGTTTTATACTTGCCCCATTGGCTATAAATAGTTATCTAATATTATTTCAATAGAAATACAGTGAAGCATGTTCTCGAATTTTTCTGCGTCGCATTCTTCGTTAATTAACGCGGTCGAAATATTTTCACGTGAAACAGTCGTCGATACGCCTATTACTTCCGCGCAAACAATATTCATGAGACATTTTGTACGATTCGTGTAACGAAGAATTTAAAAAAAAAATGTTTGCAATGTTAGTAACTGTACGGGACAAAATATACATAAAAAGATATAAAAAAAACCTTTGTACCTTCTTGGTCGAAAAGTTTTACCGATCTCCAGCGTTTCTTATGATTAGGAATGAACTTGAAGTACACTCGATAAAAGTTTCAGATAGAGTGCACTCATTCCATGTTTGCAACGGAGGTGAAAATATGTTATAACTTCATTTAGAAATGGACTTTACGATGTGAGAATGTCTTGTCACGATCTATTAAAGTTAGAGGATAATTACTTTTAACAATTTCATTGAGATGAAACTTTGATATTATTTGGTTGTTCGGAAACTTCATAGCGAAATTGATTGTGTCAGTAAAGGCTAAACGAAACATTTCTAATTAATCAATTTCAGAACCGAATCAAGAGTACTATTTGGTTAAAATTAATATTTTGATATTTGGTAAAAATTCGTAATAATTAATTCCCTTTCAATACTATTAAATACAGCGTAGAATATATTCACTGTCAAAAACGTAAAGAAGTTTTCGAATAGCTGAATATAAATGATCTTGAGAAGGCAGAGAAAAATGGAGGTAGAAGCGACAGTAGAAATGATGGCCGACAATTTCATAAGTTTGTAGCGAAACTTTTCCAAAGATTTCGCGATTTATGGTAGACTCGTAGTAGGTGAAGAGTATGAAATAGTATACTGCATATCAAGAAACTCGGAACAGAAATGGTAAAATATCAAAAGAATGTTGCACGGCGATAGTCTGCAGAAATTTTTGTACCTACGCGTTGCTCGTTATTTCCTCGTGAAAAGATCTGTTTACATCGTTTCATCGCGTAAGCAATACATTTTTCGTCGAAATTTACATTTCTTCTTCGCTTGTAAACGCAGAATGAATTCAATTAAACTACCAGTCGTTTCTATTCTGTCGTTATCGACCAGAAAAGATCATTCAACAACAACCAAAACTGATACAAATCGATTGGTATCGCTGTTACCTGCAGTTATAAAATTTAATGGCCGTGTCTCGTTTCGAGATAAAAATAGTGAAACAACGTAGAAATTGAAACTGACAATTAAATCTTTCTTTTGTTAGGCATTTGAAACTTCAATGGCACGAATATCTAGTTACTTTCGAACGATCAACTTTACGATAATCAATTTTAACGATTGTTCCCGATAATGCAATGCCACTGATCTATCACTGTAACAATTTTGAAAGTAATATTGATCTTTAGTAAACAACGACATGTTTCATATTGACCAATGACTCTCACTGCGCAGTGTCTTTCATTACTTCAAATTATTTCGCGAGCAAGATGAAATTGTTATAAACAAAATATTCATTTAGCGATATCGTAATTACTTTCCCAGTTTTTTTGAATAAATCACGCAGCGTTTCGATACGTTTCATCTATGTACATATATATTTCTAAAACTTTGCGTATCGTTTTAACGATAATTGTCATAATTGCTTTGAACCGGAAGGAACATCGTTCGAAACTAGGGACGAATATTTTTCGAACGTAATTTTAAACGATCTCTCCAGAATTTTTAATTCGCTGTACTTTCAAACTGCGATTCGGAAATTTCGTCAAGTATGACATTTAGAATTCCATCTTTGTTTAAAAATGTAATTTCATGTTCTGAAAAAGGCAAGCTCGCATCATAGCTGAAGGCTATGATGTTCACGGTGTTGCTCGAAATATTTAAATTACTTTTTACACTTAATTTAACTTAATTAAACAATTTTTTGACGACCCGTTTCGACACAACGTGGTAAGAGCTTATGCAATCTTTGTTCATCCTCTATGCACTTTGCAAATTTACAAACACATATTCTCGCGCAGGTGAGCGTTTTCGGTGGTTCAATGTGGGAATGGCGAGATGAACGTAAGGCGTATTATCTGCATCAATTCTCAAAGGAACAACCTGATCTGGACTTCTTTAATCCACAAGTGGTACAGGAGATGCATGTGAGTATCGTTTGAAAAGTACATAGTTCTATTTAAATCTATCGTTATAGGTAAAATCGTTGAACTTGTTGATAAAGTATTCTCGGTTACTAAAGTAATCACGATATTCTTCACTAGGATTTACATATCTTTTTTTAATTTTGATCATAGATATCTTTAGTTGAATTAATAGTGTTTATTTTAACTTTGTTGAACACTGTTTTGGAACAAAGTAAACACATCGAGATACAAAATTTCCAACACGTTCAACTTGCAAAACAAATTTAACGCGAATTTATCCGATATGTTTGTTGAAGTATAGTTTTAACAAGAAGAATATATTTTTTTTAATTGAACTATATGTAGTCTATGATACAGAATAAGACTGTGCCTCTCTTACTGTAGATGTAGACTGTAGGCTACTATAGACTGTCTGTAATTTCCCTTAAACCTACGTTTAAATCTGAGTAAATTTCCCATTATCTGTTTACCCCATTATCTCTTACACTTCTAATAATTTTAGTGGATTTTGTTGTAACAGAAGCTGTTATACCGATAGAGGCATTTTTTATCCACTTTATCGATACTTATAGTTATAAGAAGTTTTTCTATTATGTACGTTTTCATGACTATATTTACTTATAGATAGTGATATCTATGTTGCATCATCGAAGCTACAATATCGGATTTTCTCTTTATCGTATTATCTTAAATTCGTAAAAGTAATGAATTACGCGGAACTGTTAACAAAAGGGAAATAAATTCCGTCTGTACACGATAAACACGAGCTGTTTCCAATCTCTTCGAACGATGCTTCGTGTGTCAAGTATGAAGATTGTACGAACTTAACACGACTCGACGATCTTATCCTCAAACATATTTTCCGTTTTTTGCTCTTCTATTCTCTCCTTTTTATTTTTATCGTTGTTTTAATGCCTGGCAAATTTACAACAATGATAGATCTCGTTCAACGTCATCGTTAACCGTTAACCGGAGACCCAACAATTAACATCGTAATGAATCAAGGACCAAGATACGGTCAAACAGATATCGATTACCCGCTTTGATTTTATCAATCATTTCAGCCGAAGTTGCTGGTTTTTCGAAGCACGATCACTCGAAAAAAAGAAAATGATGAGAAATAAAGATATTCGTTGCTTCGACGTGCTACCCGTTCGTTCAACGTAATCCCGATTGTTTTATCGAACGAACCGAACCGATTTCTAAGGAATATGAGTCACAGTTCGTCAACATCGTGGAATTTCATGACGTCTACGTCATTTCAATAGAATTAGAAAATCGTTTCTCCTTCATCTTTATTGCACGTTTCCTGCTAGTACTTAATATTTGGTCATATTTCAATTTATCAGAGAATATGATTAATGTTAGGAATTTTTAATAAGAAATTTTTCAAATATATATTTTATTAAGCGTATGCATTTCCAAATTGATCTAAAATTTCGCCATATACAATCACGATAGTCGTGTCCCATCGCATTGCTAATCAAACATCAAACAGCTTCAAACATAATACACGTAGGTAAAGGTATAATATGTGGTAATTGTTCTAATTAGCTTCATGAGTCGTTTATACCTCAACGTCTGCCACTTCAGTATTCGCTACTTTCATGCATGAAACGACAGAAAATCTTTGGAAAAATATTTGAACTTGGTATGAAATCCGCGATCAATCCGAATCCATCCAGGATTTCGGCGATGTCTCGTGACTTTTTTCGGAATTCCGCGGTAAATTTGAATTTTAATGGGCACAAATTCGTTCGATGAAATTCGACGGACATCACGAAAACACGGTCGGTTAAATTCAGTCAGCCACGGTTGAAATTCAAGTAGGGCTGAAGCCGCTCGTTCCACTATCCAGCAAAATATAAATCTGACTACGGTTGCGAATGTTATAGCTATGTCGGGTTTGAACGACCATGGTTTAAAATATGCGAAATCGAGGGATACGTGGTACTTGCTTCATCGAATTTAAATGAACCGAAGGGGGAAACACGGCGCGATTGCGAGAAAGAAGTTGTAGAATACATATAAGAACATTATACAGTTAGGTTTTTCAACTATGCGCTAAAAAATATTCTGAATATCAGTCATCTGTAATTAAATGAAAAATTGATCATTTATGATATTCGAATAAGAAATAATATTTATTACAGTGTAATCTCATTTATCCTTATTAGCTTCAGACGTACGAATTTATAATTGAGCTTTCGTACATGAAATTATTTATTTGTCCTTTCAAAATTCAAAGACTTTTAGGTAATTATACACGTTAGCGAAAATAAACTAATTTTTATGTTAACTTGTTAATAGATCAATATGATCGAATTGCTTGATATAAAAGAAAGCAAACATGAACAATAGATACGATCGTAAATATTATGCGAGAGCCAATAAATGGCAATCTATAATAGAAGTACTCATGACTAATTTCGCCGCGAAATCTTTCGGATATCGACATATGTCTCGCAACCATTGACTAATACGAATCAACCATACGTTACTATATCTTTCACCTACGATTACTTGTAGAGTCTAACAGTACGATATTGACATTTTAGCGCGGAAATCTAACGAACCCGACATCTTTGTTATAGAAACGTTACGAGTACGTATAAATTGGAAGAAATTTACCGAAGTACCGAAAGTACATACGAACATAGAAGTAATGTAATATAACGTGTAGAGACTTGAACTCATGAATAGTCATGCGAATCAGAAATAATAAAAGTATACCGGGGAAATGTATTGGTACAAAGATAGAAACGAACACAATCAATCGAATTATCGAATGGTAAGCACGTGTACCTGTCAATTCAGAAACTGACTTATTTAATATCAGCCGTGTTAAAAGAAAATCAGCTCGCGTTAGAAAAATTACAGAATTTACTAAGTAAAAAGAATTTTATTTCTTTATATTAGAATCTTCTTTTACGTAGCTGAATACGATTGTAGCTTCGATATATGTATACAGTCGATTTTTATAAAGCAGATTTATTTCTAAGAGGACACGTTTCTGTAAAACAATCATCATCTTATGCTTGTAAAAGCACTTTCCACGGGTAAGGAACGTTCGTTCGGTTCGTATTTTTCTTTTACGCCAATTTGTTTTCGCCTTTTTCTCTAGCTCAACGTAATCGTTTCGCTGAAACAATTTGGCGGACTATATGGCTTTCAAGAGTACGACACAGTCGTTAATATAATCGTCGATGGGAAGAACTTTGAATTCGTAAAAAGTGTCATCGTCGTAGCTGGACGAAACGATAAAAAACAATGTAAAAATTAGAAACATGATTTATCATGATTTTTATTTGTGATCTACATGCATAATGTATATATTATCTCAACACGTAATAATATTTAAGATTAACATATATATAATAATAATAATATTTTCGTTCTTGGATACGTAAAAACACTATTTCCAATGATATATTTCTCAAATAACAAGGTCTAACTAAATATTACAGGAAATTTTGAGATACTGGTTAAGGAAAGGCATTGATGGCTTCAGAATAGATGCCTTGCCATTTATTGCCGAGGACATGAACTTCCCAGATGAACCTTTGTCAGGTAAAACCAACGATTCTACTAACCCTGACTACACCGATAGGACATATACCATGCATCTGCAAAAAAGTTACGATTTGATCCCTGGATGGAGAAACGTCTTGAATGAATTTAAACAACCAAAATACATGTTCACCGAGGCATACGCAAACATCTCGATGACGATGAAGTATTATAAATATGGAGCAGACTTCCCCTTCAATTTTGGCCTGTTTCAAAACGTCCAGCCGACAGCGAACGCAACAACCTTAAAATCTGTGGTTGATACTTGGATGATGAACATGCCGAGAAATAGCATTGCTAACTGGGTGGTAAGTTACTAATATTTTCAGAAAGCCGATTAATTTTCTATTAGATTGTCATTTATCCCCATAAAACTTTACACATATATTTCCTTCAAAATATTGTACATTCAGTCAAAATGATTTCTACATGGTTCAATGCACTTCATCAATGTCTAAGTGATTTTATCATTTCAAATTTATTAAGATTATTAATGTTGAAATTCAAAATTTTCTGGACTGGAATTATCATAGTTCGCAGTTTCTTTCGAAATAATTCATCCACCGAAAGATTGCCTGGCTGAAATATAATATAATATAATAATATAATCATAAATTTAGAGGAAGAATAAGCGAGGGAAAATATTGTACTATCAGGAAAAATGATCTATTTATATACTTGTACGTTCATCCTTTTCAATCATAATCTAGTCAACCCTTATAATCGTAATTCTATCTTATGATAGCATTAAAAATTACAAGAAAGTATCCTATCACTCCTAGCTTATTTCAAGAAGAAGAATTTAATTAGAACAATTGCTTTCTTAAAATTTGATCAGCACCTATATCGTTTATTAATTCTACAACTAATTTTCCTTTTATTTCAATAATTTTACTCCTATCATATTCGCTCAAATCGCATTTTTCTAAATTCGTAACAGGATGACAAACTTCCATTTTGGCATTTCTATGTTCTCACTCACTCGCACACGCACACACACGCATACAAGTACGGGCGCGCTCGTACAATTGTGGATGTTAACTTCTCCAACCTCGGCGAGGATCTGGAAAATTTTCTTCGCCAAATCCTTCCTCGATTCGCTTCTCTTCGTCTGTATTTGCTTGCCGGGAAGTTGGACGACGTGATTGTAGATCGAAGGAAAATCAAATTACTCTGGAAGCAAACGCACGAAACTGGTCGAACGTCGTTCGATTGGAAAAATGGTTGATAGCACCTAACTATTTCGAATTCGAAGCTGCGCGATTGAACGGCGGAGGCAACGCGTGAACGAGCTTGAAAAATGTCCACAAAACGCCTGGAAGAGAACGAAACGAGCCTCTTTCCGCTCGCGTTCTTCGAATTCCACGAGCGCATCGAGCTTTTGTCGAGCTCGTGTGTGCATCGGGCATTCGATCGAAAACCTAAAATTTCAAGCCTTAAAATCGATATTTCTATGTCGAGGAAAATGAACAAAAAGCGTTTGCTGGAAAAAATAGGACGATCGAGGAAAAAAGTAGAAAATCCCCAAACATTATATGTATTTAAGCTAAAATATCTTCAACTCAATACGATTACCGTTAGTTAAAAAAAAAAAGAAAAAAAAAGAAATAACGACGGATATTTTAAATTTTTGAATACCTTAAAATTTTGTGTGCAGATCGGAAACCACGATCAAAGAAGAATAGTGTCGAAAGTAGGAGAACCACGAGCTCGTGCCCTTACCGTAATGACGCTTCTATTACCTGGCGCAAGTGTGACGTATAACGGTGACGAAATCGGTATGTCGGACACTTGGATCTCTTGGGAACAGACACAGGACCCGCAGGGTTGCATGGCTGGTTTATTAAACTACAATACTGCGTCTAGGGATCCCGCGAGGACACCGTTCCAATGGGATGACTCCGTTTCTGCCGGTGAGTTTCCAATAAGATATAACTTTCACGCGAATGAAGAAATTTTCAAATGAGCCTTGATTTTCACATTTTTAACCCTGGTACGTTTGTCGAATCATTTTTGAGATATTATTTCTCCATCGTGCCATAACATGTTTCACTCTCACAGATGAAACTGGAATTTCATTCCACATCTATCAATTATTTTAAAATCAATTTCATCGTGTCATAGTAATAAAATAATAATACAGAATGTAGTAAAGAAAATGTTATCTTTTGAAAAATGCGAATTGTAGATTGTATCCTTTGGCTGTACAAATATCGTAAATACTGGTACGTTTGAGATGAATCTTCGTGTGAGATTTAAAAAAAGGAAGCTCCAATTCCAGAAACTCTAATTAACTAACTACAATTAACTGAACAAAAAAAGAACCAATAATCGCAAGAACTATGACCAAGTATTTCGATTTGTAGGATTCTCCACGAACTCCAATACTTGGCTGAGAGTCAACGATAATTACAAGACTGTCAATCTGGCTGCCGAAAAGAAGGACAAGGACTCGTTCTATACCCTCTACAAGAAAGTCTCAACGCTGAGGAAGTCGCCGTTCCTTAAAAAGGCCGACTTAACTACGAAGCTGTTGAGTGAAAACGTTTTTGCGTTTGCCAGGTAAGGATAGTGAACATGTAAATCAAGATGATACTACGACCATTATATACCACGATTCGCTCGTCGAATATATTGCTAAACGCGAGAAAATTATGATTAATAGCGTGGCAGTATGTATCTACACTATCACTTACAAATGTCCAAATATTTTGGTCGATTTGTAATACAAATATTTCAATTTCACTACAAAATAATGCTGAACTAATAATTAGCAGTAATATTTACTAATTTTCATGGAATTGCCAGACTATACGATTGGGTCATCTATTAAAAGACTAGAAGAATATATTTTAGCATTTAGCATTATGTATACTACTACATTTATTACTTAAAATTTACTACTTAAATATCACAGGTTCTATCAACGTCGGAAGTCTTTCTGCCAAATTAAGAATTTTCTTCGTCAAGCTTATAATTCAGAAATCAAAGAATCTGAGAATAAAGAGCTCGACAAATAATAAAATAGTTCTACGATTGCAAACGCTGACTTTACGATCGCGTATTGATTTTTGAAAATCGATTTGATCACGTTAGAATATTGTGACATGTGTAGCTTCGATGATTATAAAATATAAAATTCTTAAGGTTTAATTTATCCATTTAATCGATACATTTGATTTGTGCAAATATCTTTGTACAATAGCGTGCAATTACTTGATCGCGATCATCGGCGTTTGCAATACGATGAGTCATGGTACTAAGAGTGCCTTCGTTTCTTAACGATACACTGTACATATGGAATATCATAATTTCTTCAGGGAAACCATGTTAGATGGATCTGTCTACACCATAATAAACTACTCGGATAAGGACGACGTAGTGGATCTGTCAGTATTCGAGAAAGCACCGAAGAAATTGGATGTATTTTACGCTACTGCTAACTCTACTATGCTTTCTAAGTGAGTGTACAATTTCTCCAATTTTATTTATCTAAATTGCGTCGCTGCCATGACAAATTTATGCAATTGCGTCGAGTATCGTTTCATAGTTTCCTTTCTTCTTCCAACACGGTGGTAAATGTGAAAAGCACTGGAAATAATTCGCAAACTGTAACGTCGTTCTTCAAATTGAAAGAAAAAGATGAAGAAAAGGTAGAAAGGGAACGAATGAGACAGAAAGATGTCTTCAATTATTTGAAGAGAAATTGCGTATTTAACAATGATTGATTAAATAAGCAACGTAACATCTTTCAAACTTGTTGAGATTAAAGAATAAAAAGATTTACTTAATCCTTGCTGCGTTCTTTTAATCATTTTCGATTCAATTGTACTTTTCTAATATTAAAAGATATCTCAAGTTCGAAGAAAATATGAAAAACTGCTGATTCATGTCAAACAATTGTATATTAAACGTTTTCTTGAAACGTTCGAAATATTTTCTGTCCCCTAAAATGAAAGCAAGATTGTAATATGAAAATCCGAGGAGCGCAGTTGGATTAAGTGACTCTGATGTTATTCTGTTCCCTGTTAAATTCTTAATCCACAGAATTATTTCATGTTTCTGCTATCATGTACTGATTTTTTTTTTTTAATTAAATTATCCTATTACTTGCTACCTTATTAAGCAGAAACGTTTATTCCGACGTCTTATCAAATTAGTTCTTTTCTTGATTATATTTCTTTCTTTTAAATTAATTTCCATTTTATTATACATAAATTCCTATTGCATTATTTTTAGAGACGATGTCTTTAAATCGATGCTTTAAACATCCGTTTGTTAAACATTGTTGCGATGATATTAATTCTGTAAATTTGTTTGTTTGTTGGGAATATAGGTACGAGGTCACGGACATCAAGAAAGTAAAGGTTCCTGCCACGGCAGTGATAATCCTTACTGCCCCAGGTATCAAAATTGGATACATATAAATCTACAACAGATTCCTACGGTTTCTAAGTTCGAATACAAACATGTACCTCTAAATAATTGAAAAATATAGTTTTTTTCTTGCAAATCGTTGTATTTACATCTTAACAATAGTACAATGGCCAACGTTTCAAAAATAATCCAGTTACAATAATTTATCACACAGCCACGATTTTACGACCATTAAACTTATCGTTGCCTATCGCGATTATTATAAAAATATAAACCCTGCTATTAATAGTGAGACTGAATGGAAAAGTAATACGAGTGCATTTTTCCAAGAAACGAGATAAGTACGGAAAACAACAGTTACAGATTTATTTAAAAAGATATTATTACAAATAGTCTGCGATCGCTTACGCTTCAAATAATATAAAAATTTCATGGAAAAATATATAGGACTCGCGCAACATAAAGAAACATATAAAATAATATTACTCGTTGAGATATTTCTTAGGTGAAACAGATCTCCACTTATATGCTCATAAAAGTTTTCCTCGATGAATGTTCAAATACTTTCGATTTCTTCGATAAAACTCAACTTTCATCAAAATTTCCTCAGATTTAAAATATTCCTACTCGTATCGCTTGCCCTTTGAATCTTTTAATTGTCTTTCAAATGTCTCCGACCAAAAGTCTATTAAATCAAAAACCTTCGAATTCCAAACTGTCGACGTGCTAAAAAGTCAACGTTCACGTCGAAACATTCACCGAAGAGACAGCCACAGGTTAAATTGGCCGAAATTCACGATACGAATCGAGGACCAGATTCGATTAACCGGCCTTTCACTTTTTTTTACCCGAAGGTAAAACTGGCCTAAGAGCGTGAACGGAAGCGGCCGCGTATCGGTTCCCCCATCGATGTGGCCACGTCAATCAGCTTGCCAATTATAATCGTCGCTGAATATCCATGGTGGATTTCGTGTTCCAGCCCGTAAGAATTTCACTCGTCAACTTTCGCAAAATTCCTGACCGATCGAGAGGCGGCCGTGGTCGCTGCTTTGGGGCATTTCCTTCAATTCACCGTTAAAAAATTCGCCGTTCGAGCTTCATTCCGCATGCAGGCCGGGTGAAACAACCGGCGAAATTGGGTGTTCGAAAACGCGCCATCGTTTCGACGAAGAAAGCTGTCCTAAAGCGAACACGGTCGAGTAGGAAAACGAACGAAACTTTTCAAGTCGATCGAAATTTGTATATCTATATCGATGTATCGTGTCGCTGTTTGTCGTTGATAGCGGTACAATTCAAAACACGTAAATTTTAGAGGATTTATTTAATTTACAAGGAAATCTTCGTGAGTCATTTCAACGACACTGTAAGGCTGACTTAACACAAGGTATGCCACTGTTTGCGAATGCAGTACAACCTTCCACTTGTAGCGTCACAAAACAACTGAAGATAAGCCGGTGTTGTTGCAAGACTAAGACCACGTTGGTAGTGACATTTGCAATAATATTGCATTCTGATGCAAAGCTGATGGAATTATAAATATACCGTTTTACATGATAAGAGTACAAACATAATGTAAACTCAGTAACAGTGAATTTGAAATACTTTCAGCCGTGTCACTATCACTGCCGAGCACCGATATTATAATTCTATACTGGGTATTTCTGACTTTTCGCAACAAGCTGTTCCATTCTTGTGTATAACTTTTTAATACAACTCTTAGCCAATTATATTTCTTCTTTATGCATACACAGCTTTTATGCACAAAATTTGTCTGATTATTAATATAAATAATTTTAGCTAAATTTCAGAACATTCGGCAATTTCCTCTTAATTTTCATACCATAACGTGATATATACTTTGTTTCAGATACCGTTCCGCCGATCTGAATTTGTAAAATGGCTTGTTTCCAACTACTTTTTGGACATACGAAGATAAGTTAAGATCGTAAAAAAAAAAAATGACTTAAAGAATGTCCCAATTTTGGGCCTGGTTTTTTCCGAAACTCTTATATAACTTGTCTGTGCAGCGAAAGACATAACATTCGTTCGTCGTCGCAACTTCAATGCGTATGTATCAAAGTTTCCTACGTATCGAGCTGCCGTGACTGTTTGATTATTTAGAATTGCTTCTTATGTTTTATGAAACGAGTTCTTCCCTCTATATTCATTTGCGCCAGAGAAACTTTAAAAGAGAGAACAAACCAGAATCGCAGAAAGGAAAATTTACTTTTTATTCTAATACAGACAAGTATACCTTTAAAATAGAATGTGTCGTAATTAGGATGAATCGTAGGACGAAATGAAAATCACAATTAGGGCGTTTTAGAGTTATACACGTGTGCTGTTTCGTTGAAGGGAAATTAACGTTGAAAACGTAAAAATTTAATAATGCAAGCAACATAGTGGATTGTTTCTTTCGTGCAAATGCATTTGGGAAACGAACACCGAGAATTTTGGAAGCTAGTCGCTGCAACAACTGATTCAATCTTGCAATCTAGACGAAGCAAAGGAAAACGATGTTTGCATACGAATTTCGTTTTATTCCTCGCACGTACACATTTTTTACATTGTAACGAATCGAGTATTTATCGATCGTATCGATTCTTTCTCCCTATTGGAACTCTTAAACTTTCGATGAGAAATTAAACTAAACGGTGAAAATTAAAAGTTACTTTAATAGTAACGTTTACAAGAAAATGTAGAAAATGTTACGATTGAAATATTTACATCAAAGTTAACGAACAGATTAGACTTTGAATATTTATTTCACTTAAAAATTGTTACGAATACTTTGTATATTTTATATATTTTCATACCTTTGAATTTCACATAAATGCAGAAAAATCTGCACACTCTACCTATCGATAACATAATAAATTATTCGTCGTAAAATAAATATTCACTACCTTTACTAACATACGCTTGTCAAATCGAAAAGTTTCTTATTCAGAAGCTAAAATTCGCCAGCCAGAGATAAAATCATGCGCGATGCTCCAATATTTTCGCTTAAATTCTATTTCGTGTAACAGGATCACCTGTTTATCCTTTTGCTCTCCGGCTAAAACGTAAAAAATATCACTGTTCGCTACGAATGGTTTGTATGGGGCGTAATCCCGCACATTTATACGGTTTTCTGATTTTTAACAACTTTCAGTACGCTGCTGAATAAACTTATGTCATTTGCCAAAATATACATATGCGCCGCTGGATTATGTTTTCAATGTACGTATTTCTCGATTGCTTTCGGTATCTACTTTATATCAATGAACATTGTTCGAAAGATACGATAAGATAAGATATCGTCGAATCAACGAAAAATGACAATATTCGGAAATTTGTATTCTTTTCGCGAGTAAATGAAATACTACCAGGCACAAGTATTTTGACACATTGTTTAATTTAATCGAAACATTTATGTTTTCGAAATATTTGTAATTAATAATTATTAAAAGTTTTCCAATTAATATTATTATTATTATATTAAATTATATATTATTATTATTAAATTATTATAATATTAATTATAATATTAAATAATATAATTAATATTTTATACTTTCAAAATTATAACAAGAGAACGGCTCCCTATTGTTGATTCTTTACCTATCGTACCAAGTTCAAACTAAAACAAAGAATATGCTTGCACCGCTGTAGCTTCATGATTATGCACAACGAATGATTGAAACTTTGCAAGATCTGTATCTGTTTCCTGCAACACGCGTACTATAGACCTGTACATTCATCTAATAGATCGTTATCTATACAGATAATTTTCTTTTAATTCCTTTCTGACGAAAGTAAATACTAAATAAATCGTATTTTATACGTTTCAACAATTAATTTTTATAAGTGTCATTGCGTGTTTGTTCGACTTCATCATTTCGATATAAAATCCACTTTAAAATTATCGTATATTTCCTAGAAGACTATAATAAAAGATCGTGGAATTTCGTTGTACGTTTAATTCGTTTGTGCGATTTTTGTCTCATCTACATATGAATATCATTTTGTATCTCGACTACGCATGAGTATCGTGTACATGATATACCATTTTCGAATTTTGGAAATACAACCTACCATTACCCGTCATAAGCACCGTGACACCATTATACTTTTAATAGCGACGAAACATCAGAAACATCAGCGTGCTCTGAATGCTATCACAAACTTTCTCGACTCATTGAAACTATGATCGTTATGTTGCAAATTTGCTGATGTTGAATAAATTATTTTGTCCTGACAGGACTATCGGCGTACATTCGTGCGTTTTAACAACGTTCTACTCCTGAAATTATTTTAATTTCACTTATGCTTGTGTAATACGTATCCGATTGTGAGATAATAGGTAGGAAAATTATTGGAAAATTATTTCCTGAAAATCATTTCAGGAAATATTTATTCAAAAGTATAAATGCTAGCTAAAATAAAAATCTATTTCGTTTGACATGATAAATGATAAAATTATTCCGAGAAAGATCGTTTATTCGCTGAAATAAATTATTTCGAAGTAACATCTGCCCAAGTAACACGATAATCGTTTAAATAATCATTTTTCAAATATTTCATCCAAATAATGCTCACGCCTAATATAAATGTGTAAAAGTTACTAAATATTAGATTGTTCTAACGATCTTGTCCATTAGAAACATTGAAAAAATTATATTCCTGGAAACATCTCAAACTGTACATTTTCCACCATTATATATTTACCGTCTTCTATCTGAAATGTTTAAACATCGTCTTATAGAAATTGAAACAATAAAGCTTATACATATCTAATCATTAATAATTTAAGAATAGTATCTTGCACAAGTATGATTAAGTATTACATCAACAGTGTGTTTTAAAACCAATAAACTTACTACATTTCTACGTTAATAAGAAGGGGAGAAGCGTAAAATCTATATAGGGTGTATTCTAGGTAATAAGAACCAAGATAGACGAATAAATATGCTTGCCACGTGTTCCGTTAGTATAGAATTTTAAAATATAGATTGCAGACTGACGTCATCTTTATCATTAGACTACAGATACATATACATATAGATTTTTGGAATATAGCTAAAAAAATGCAAGATAGATTTGTCCCACACACTAAATATAATCAATATTTTACAATAGTATTTTACTTGAAAT